TCAGTGTAACTAAGTGGTGATATCCACATTACAACTGTGAAACGAGAGGCAGAAATGGACGACGACATCAAAGTGGGATCTCAAATCTGTGGAGTAAAAAGACTGTTTTTGTTAACATTTACAGATGGATGCATGATTTACAGATTCAGTGGGTATCCATGTGGATACCATCTATATCCCTCAAGTTAATTGCATAAAAGTTTGAGCCAGTAGGGAAATGGAGGGCGCCTCTCTGATGGGCTGCAGCTCGCCCTGGTGAGCATGAGAACCAGGGTTGAGGGCGGGCCTGCTCGACAGGCACCTGCGGGCACAAGTGTGGGCTGGATAGTGGGATGGATTGGGTAGAGCAAGGCTTCAATGCTCATTGACATGTAGGAGAGCTGAATGGGCTGTTGAACACACTGGACCCGTCTGCTGCATTACTGGGAAGCACAGGATCCAGGACTGAGGAAGAGCTTGTTGGCGGTTATTCGGGGTCGCTCCGACTAGGCTGAAGTTCCTGTCACTGTATGTGAGGGCCGAGCTTGTGTTGAGCAGGATTGTGTTGGGCTGCAGCATCCATGAGTTTATATAAGAGATGGGGCTGGAGACAGAACTAACGTAGCAATTGCAACTGCCAGTGTACATGTAGGCTGGCGTGGGTGACAGTCTCGGGACATACTGGCAAGCACACACAAGAGTCAGGTCTGGGACCATTTCAGACGAGCTCTCTTTGCAGATTGCCCCAACTGAACCACTGGACTCAGAATTCCAACCATGGGGAGGATTGCAGGATCTGTGTTCTGACCATGGAGTGCACGTGTCAGAACAGGGCCTGCTCAGTGGCTTAGATGGAGCAGTGAACAGCATACCCACTTTTACATGGAGGATATGGCAGTCCATTGGAGTTTGCCACTGAGGACACTTGGTACCATAACAGAGGACAAGGGACAGGACAAATTGGTCAACTGTCTCAGCCAGCAAATTTCTGGGCAAATGGGGGCTCTAAGGTAGAGTATATCAGCCGATGGGCCATGGAAGGATTTCCTCATCCTTGGATTGGTGAGATCGACAGCATTTCAGAACTGTCAAGACTAGGTAAGCAGAACCCTTGGAACGTGCTCTCTCCTGGGGTCCCTGGCATGACATCGGGCGGCTCTTTGCCATTCCTGGGTCCTGAGGCAGTTGGGAGGCTGGGCTCATCTTCTTCCCTCATTACCTCCTGTTCCCCAGATATAAGAAGAGAAAGAGAATTTGGAAACAATGGTCTTACCACTATCCCTTATTCCTCACTCCTTCTCACACTAATCAATCATGTAAACAACATGAGAATAAAAGTTTGAAAAATGAAAGTGGAAATAAGCCTCGTGCACAGGGGTTTCTGTGATGGGGACAACACCACTGATCCAGAATTGTAACTTAGGAAACGTGAATGGGGGAACCCGACCCCTGACAGGAACCAGCCCTTAACTTCGCCCTGCTCCTGCTGAAGGTGAATGTGGTCTCTCATTCTCCAGGCCCAGTCAGTCACTGGTGATAAGTCTGCATTCCAACTGTAACCACAGATGCATCCAGTGTCATTCCTGTATCAGTGCTTTCTTATTATGTTACAACTCTATAGCTCAGAAATTATGGGAGAGGGTGACAGCATGAATTTAGAAATGTTCCCCACCTACGGTTGTGGGAGAGGAAAGCCAAATTCCCTAAGAGGACCAGGCCTGCACCTGCACATGGGTCTGCTAGCTCAGCAAGCACTGCGCTCCCTGGTGGAGCTGCGTGCCCCTGTAGCCAGGTTTGTTCCTGGCTCACACTGAGGTCCCTGCACATTGTCTCTGGCACAGTAATAGAGGGCTGTGTCCTGGGCTGTCAGAGCGGTCATTTGCAGGGACACCGTGCTAGTAGCGCTGCTGCTGGAGATGGTGAATCGGCCCTTCACGGAGGACGCATAGCCGGTGCTACCACTACCATATATTGCTGCGAGTCACTCGAGCCCCTTACCTGGAGCCTGGCGGACCCAGACAAAGTAGCTGCTACTGAAGTCAAATCCAGAGGCTTTGCAGGTGAGTGTCAGTGTCGCCCCAGGCTGGACCAAGCCTCCGCCGGACTCCTCCAGCTGCTCCTGACACTGGACACCTGCAAACACAAACGTCCTCGTTGGAAACTGTCACTCACACCCACTGACCCCTCACCCTCATCCTCTCCCATACTCAACACCCCTTGTCCTCCATCACTGACCTTGGAGCACAGCCACCAGGAGAAGCCAGCACAGTGCGGTCTCCATGGTGAGTGTCTGTGTGGAGTGCGATCCCTGAGTGGGACAGCTGGGAGTCCCTGGTCTGGGGCTCCTGTGTCAGAGCTGCTGGTGAGGCTGGTTTTCATGAGCAGAAGGAGGGCCCTATTTGCATGTTGTGCTCCTATATAGTAAGCCTTGGTGTTGGACGCTTTAGAGAAGTCACAGTACAGAGCAGCTGTGCAAGGGCTTGGAATGTGGTGGCTGTGATGGAGAGTCAGAATTTTTGATTTGTTGTTTATGAATCTCAAACCGATTGCTCAAGTATCTTGTGTACTTTTAGTGTGAGTGTAGATATATTACATGGTGGTATAAATGACTCCTCGTTTGGATTGAAGCGCTTGATACTCATATCCAGCTGCATGTGCTCCTTTCCTCCCTCCTCAACAGCTACTGAGCGTGAATCTGCATTGGGATCATGCACTGTTTCAGAGGTCAGCATGTCCAGAGTTACCTGCTGTTCCATGGTCAATTCGCACCACGATATTCACGAAGTTCAGATCTGCAGTGAACTTAGTGTTAGGTATGGGTCATTGCACACTGTACCATTTGAGCTTGGAATACTGTTCAGTTTTGAGAAGAAAGATGTTCTGTCACTTGGGAAACTTATTTGATCCTAGAGTACATGATGGAGTAATGTACTCCAAGTCGTAAAGATGCATGTTGCCTTGTAGCTTTTCTGGAATCCATTGTCTTGAACTCACAGAGGCAGATGCAATGGTGATAAGCAGAGACACGTCTGGAGAAGGGCAGAGGCCACACTGGTGCAAGGACAGGGAGGGCTACTTGACCAGAGGCACAATCAAGAATGAATGTCCAGGGGCCGGGCGCGGTGGCGCAAGTGGTTAAGGTCCTCGCCTTGCACGCCCGGGATCCCATATGGGTGCCGGTTCTAATCCCGGCAGCCCCGCTTCCCTTCCACCTCCCTGCCTGTGGCCCGGGAAAGCAGTCGAGGACGGCCCAAAGCTTTGGGACCCTGCACCCACGTGGGAGACCCGGAAGAGGCTCCTGGCTTCGGACCGGCATAGCATCGGCCGTTGCGCTCACTTGGGGAGTGAATCATCGGACGGAAGATCTTCCTCTCTGTCTCTCCTCTCTGTATATCCGCCTTTCCAATAAAAACATAATAAAAATAAATCTTTAAAAAAAAAGAATGAATGTCCAGCAGGATAACAGTAGAGGATGTGTTGTATCCTCAAGATGGAAATTAAATTACATTCTTTGAGCTTGTGTGATGGTTGAACCGGCTGATCCTCCACCACTCCATCACTGGCATCCCACTGGGTGCTTGTTTGTGTTCCAGATGCTTCACTTCACAGCCAGCTCCCTACTTATGTCCTGTGAAAATAGTAATGGATGGCTGAAGTCCTTGGGATTCTGTATGCACGTAGGAGACCTGGAAGAAGATCCCTGCTCCTGGCTACAGATTGGCTCAGCTCTGCCTCTTGCATCCATTTCAGGAGTAAACCAGTGGATTCAGGATCTTCTCTGTATCCCTCCTGCTCTCTGCAAATCTACCTTTCCAATAAAATGTTCAATTAAATTCTTGATTCTGGGGTTTGATGTGGTGGCCTATTGGCTAAAGTCTTCACTTTGCATGTGCCGGGATTCCATCTGGGTGCCAGTTCATGTCCCAGCTGCTCCACTTTCCATCGATGCTTCCTGCCTGTGGTCAGAAAAAGCAGTAGAGGATGGCCCAAAACCTTGGGACCCTGTGCCCATGTGGGAGATCCAGGGGAGTCTTCTGGCTCCTGTCATTGGATCGGCCACTGTGACTCCAGCCATTGTGACTGCTTGGGGAGTGATTCATTGGACGGAAGACCTTCCTCTCTGTCTCTCCTCCTATCTGTATATCTGCCTTTCCAATAAAAATAAATAAATTTAATAAAATTATTGATTCCAATGACATGTGTTCACATGGCTACAGTGCTGTTAAGCACAGAACACTCTATGTCCAGCGTGCGATGCTGAGTCATTCATGTAGAGAAATTGTGTCATCCGTGTGTGTAGGTTCAGCATCATGACACCCTGGGAGCACGTCATGCTGTAAAGGGAGGACAGCTCATCAGCAACTGATGTGGGTTCTGTCCTGCTATCAACTAAGTGTCATTTGTTTTACAAACCCAACACGAGTGAGTTCTACCTGCATGAGAAACTGCCTGTGACTGTCAGTATCCGACGAAGCATGTGTGTATCACTTCCTACTCGAGTACATGTTGCTAGTTCTCCCATAGCAATGCAGAGCACTATACCACATGGAGGATATGTTGTTGATCTTGGTTGTGTCAATTACTTTACTGTAAGCAAATGAAGGTATTGTACTGCCCAGGCAAGCAGAAACATTTCTTACTTGTCAGCATTACTTCAGGAAAAACTTGGAGAGATAAACATTCCTTCAACTTAGTAGGAGTTTTGATGACAAATACTGTACAACCCAATGAAAAAATACCCGTCTGTGGGAGCTGCGTTCATATCTGGGGCCCTCCATCCTTCACAGCCGGTCCTCCTACAACATCTGGGTCTGTATATCTGCACACACAATGATGATGAAGCAGCTATAGTTTGGTTCTGTCCTGAGTGTGTCCCTCAAGGGATGAATAGGAGGTGTGAGCTCCAGGATGAACATGTGAGAAGCAGGGGCAGCTCTGGGAGTTGTTTTTACGGGAAGCTTCTACATCACTGAGGGAGGCTGCCCTCAGAGGAGACTGAAGTAGATCTCATGGATTCTGTGATTCTGCCTCAATCAGGATGTTATCTGGTCCACCCTGGATCTAGCTCTGTTCTGGATGTGGGATGTGATCTCTCCCATATGTGTTCC